GGTGAGAGGGGCGCGGGCGGCCGGGGACGGGGCCGTACTATCCAGCCCCGTCCACAGCACCCGCTTTCCCCCCCCCCACGGATTTGTGGCTGTCGTGAACAAGGCCATGGCCATTGGCATGGGAGACCAGACCATATGTAAGGCCCGCTGGTCTGTCCCCTTGACATGCTCTTGCCTCATGGTGAGTGTTGGCCTCAATGCCCTAGCAAGGCCCTATGGGGCGCTATGCTGCAGGGAGGATTCAATAGGGGGTGTTTTCCCCTTGCAATCAGTTCTGACCCCAATGCAGCACTAGGGGGCACTGTGCTGCAACGAGCAGGGTGGCGGGTACAATAGGCGCTCTTGTTACACTCCAGCCCAGGGACAGTTTTAAAACTGGAGTTTTATTAAGCTCTGTATCAAAACCCGAACACACCCCCACACGTTGCACAAGCCCCATTACTGCTCAGTGCTTTCAGAGCACAGATGCTGCTGCTGCAACCAGAGCTTCCCCTTTGGACCCCCTTGACAGACCTTCAATCTTTAAAGGGACATGGCACAGGTAAATCTAACCCTGACCTTCCCTTTAGAGTACTACATTCCCCCCATTCATGTAATGTCTTCCCAAGCAAAATAGAACCCAGTCCATCCGTTTGCGTTATTAGCAATAGTCCCAGCACATCACTGTCCTTGTCATTCGAGCCTCTCGTCCGTCACAAGTTCTGGGACTGATGATGGGGCCTTCTGCAGCTCTCTCCCATTTATTTCACATTCAGCAGAAAGCTTCTGCAGCAATTTTAGTTCCGCTGTCCAACAGAATAGTCGGTTCTGAACACCTTCAATTAGGGTGACCAGATGTCCCTATTTCATAGGGACAGTCCTGGTATTTGGGGCTTTGTCTTATATAGGCGCCTATTACTCCCCACCCCCTGTCCCAATTTTTCACACTTGCTGGTCACCCTACCTTCAGTCCCCAAAGATGTTCATATCTTATGGAATAACAGTTCCTATGTGATTGGTGGCATCACCATGCAACTCCAAGTCACTGGGCATATGGCAAGCTACTTAGAAAAACACACTACATTAACAGAATTACAAACTATCTAGAGCTGTAAAACGCTGTAGATCAACATCCACAGTGTAATTCAATATCCCCTACATCAGTCTTGGATAGAATGGCGGATAAGGTGCAGGAATAGGTACTGGGTATGACATGTGACAAACATGAGGACACCCTCCTGGTGCATTCACCGGTCCAATAGTTGGATTTAGATATTGATAAGTAGGTGCCCTAACTGTTCGTATATCAGCATCTGCAGGGCTCTTCTCTTCCTAGTCAGCCGACCCTGTGTGTCAATGATCTGTCCTCCGGGGAGCACTGCTGGTTTCAGGTTCCATGGTCACATTTTGATAATCCTGTCTTTCAACGGCTCTTGCAAATGTCCCATCAATGTGACCAGCAGTTTCCCAACATACAGGGTCAACAGGATCCTCATTTCCCAGCTGGGGAAGAAATATATGTGGATTCAGAGTTTCTGTGCCATGGGCAGCATCGGATACCATCAGCAATGTAGTTCATCTTCACTCTCACTTTGAGTCCCTGGAGTCCGATTTCCTGTCCTCATCTTGATTTCCTTCGGTGTTAGTTTGCCTTGTCCTGCGTGTCTTCTGTAGTGGTGTTACGTCCAAGGGGAAGTCAGAGGGAAGTAGAAGATAGGGTTCTTCACTGCAAACATTTCCTTTCCTGTCTTCTGCTTGTGCTTCATAGACTAAACTAGGGGTAGTCAATAGGCGGATCACGGGCCCAATCCGGATCGCCAGATGCTTTTGAACATCTTTTTATTTACTTATTATTATTGTTGTTGGGTTTTATTATTTTCCCTGGAGTCTGGACCTTGACTATACCTTGACCAAGAAATTTGGACTTGGACCAAAATATAATTGACTACCCCTGGACTAGACAGTCCCCTTCCCTGTGAAGTACTATTTGATTTTTTTATCTTCCCACTACAATCTTAATTTGTCTGGTCCCCTTCTCTCTGGGAGACTCTGGATGAGTACTGGTGCACCTGGCAAGAGGGCAGCACCATGCACTTTCTAATCACAGTGATTCCTTTCGTGAGTAGCAGATTTTTGAGAACATGTTGATGCTGGTTTGTAAGCTTCTTTCATCTGCTGTTTTCATTTCTCAGCATAATCTTTACGGTTCCCAGGTGCAGACTGAGAGTTTATAGATCAACCAAATGCAACGTCAATGGGCAAATATGCTGAACTTCCATATAATAAACAGAAGGATGAGAACCGAGTAGCTCATTTCATGTACAGTCATAGGCAAAAATCACTTTATTAAGGGAATCCTACCAATTTGACTTTTGTTCTTCTGGCAAGGTTTTCAACCTACTCAGCAGAGCCTGATTCAGCCTTTCCACATGCCCTTTGCCCCATGGATGCTTTGGAGTTGTGCAGGGAGTTTCAGTTTTACTGTAGTGCTGTAACCTTTGGAATAAATGATTTTCAAACTCTGCCTCTTGGATCCTTTGGGGGAAACCAAATTTTAAAACAGTCACCGAAGATCTAGTCTGCCATGGTGTTTCCTGACTCGGTGGTGGGAGGGAAGGTTTAGACATACCTAGTGAAGTGATCCCTTATGACTAAGATGTATTCATATCCTCCTTTGCTTCTATCTAGATGCAAGAAGTCTCTTGATACAAGCCCAAATGGTTCTGTTGTAACTGTGAGTTAATGGTGCTCTGGTAGGCTGGTGAGGGTTCTTTTGCTTGTTGCGTGGACAGACTCTAGTGACAATGTCTGTCTCTCTTCGTCTGTGGCCAATAAAACCGATCTCTTGCAAGACTGATTACTTGCTCTGCTCCTCAATGTCCCATCTCTTCATGTGGTTCTTGATGTACCTGCTTTTGGATTTTTCAGGTAATACAAGGTAGCTTGGTTTCCAGTAAAGTCATATCTGTAGCACAGCATCATATTTTCAGTGAGAATCAGACCTGTGAGGCAGACAGTACTTTCTGTCTCAGATCAAGGGCTGGGAGTAGCAAATCCTGAGATGTGTCATCTTGTGCTGCTCTTGAGAGCTGCAGGGGAAGTTCAATTGCATCTTTTTCCTGGTAATAGGACCTTAATATACCCTTAGTTCTGGCAGGCTCTGATTAGTTTTTCCCTCCAAGTAACTCCTGAAGCTTAGTCCTGGGCAAACCGCCCTGATCACAGCTTTCCATTGTCTCTGCCTCAGCGTACCCCTTTTGAATTCCACTTTCAGTTTGATAAGCCAGACTGTTTAGGCTTAGCCTGTCCTCTTGGTTGGCGTTCTTTCCTTAGACTTAGTTCTATTTTCTGAGCTGGGGGTGGCAGATTTTCCACAGGGGTTTGGCTTGTTAATTTCATTCATGCTTTCCTGAGACTGTATTTCAAGCCATTTAAATATTTCAGCACTCTGTGTCTGAATTGTCTCTTCTTCAGTTGTTTCTGTTTGCTCCCCGTTTGCTGCAGCGATGATCTTATCTTGTAATGCCAGCAACGTAGACAGTCCCTGATCCTCCAACTCTTCCTGCAATGGTTTACATATTTGATTAAAGCAAGTTGACATTTTGCCGCAGTTTCACTGCGACTTGTCCCAGAAATGCCCAGAGAGTCGCAGACCATCCTTTGGCTGGTATAAAAGTCCTCCTACCTCCATGTGACAGTCCTCTAATGCTCTCCCAGCCAAAGTGTTTGTAAATAATGAAATCTTCCCTGGCAGCTTTCCCTGGAACAGTTTACAGCAGCTTCTAGGGAGGTTCATCTCCTGGAGAGGTCAGATCACTGCAGTTCAGCCTCTCCTGGCTGGGAGTGTAACTCTCCCCTCTCCTAGTCACTGCTGACCCTAGTGCGGTGCTAGGGGGGCGCTGTGCTTCAGGGAGAAGGTTTGGGGCCACAGTATGGGGCAGGTGGGGCTGAGCCAAGTGTCTGCTTCCCCCACCTCTCCAGATGACGACATCCGCCAGACCGAAGGTTTCAAGAATGTGTCCCTGGGCAACGTGCTGTCAGTGGCTTATGCCACCCAGAAGGACAAACTGACCTTCCTCGCTGAGGAGGACAAGGTGTGTGGAAGCCCGGAGCTGTGGGTCAGGGTTGAGGGGCATCGGCAGAGCTGTGGGGGTTGGGGCAAGGCCAGGGCTGGGATAGCAGCGGTTCTGGATTGGGACTGAGGGGCACTGAGAGAGCTGGTCAGGAGCCCATGGCTGGGATAGCAGGGGGGCAGTGGGTCAGGATTGAGGGGCACTGGCAGAGCTGGGGGGCTTTGGGAGAAGCCAAGGCTGAGATAACATGGATTGTGGGTTGGGAGGAAGGGGCACTGCACACCATAGCTGGCTGAGGCTGTGGGTCTCTTGCAGGACCTGTACATTAAGTGGAAGGGGCCATCATTTGAGGTGCAGGTCGGGCTTCACGAGCTGCTGGGGCATGGCAGTGGGAAGCTCTTTGTGCAGGTAAGCACCCCCTTGGCAGGGGATGTGGGTGGGGGAGGGGGAAAGGATCCCTGTATAAACAGCCCCTGTGCTCCACCCCAGAGGAGGCTGCATCTCTGCTGCAGGCGAGGGATCCCTGCACACAGTGTTTGGGATGATGCTTCTCCCCATGGGCTAGCACGGCTGGTGCGGCGCAGCAGTGTTGGCTGAGGGTGGATGCTAACGTCTCCCCCATTCCACAGGAGGAGAAGGGCACCTGTAACTTCGACAGAGAGGCTGTGATCAACCCGGAGACGGGGGAACTGGTAAGGGGGCTGGGAGGGAAAGTGATGGCGATGGGGGAGGGTGGGGAGAGTAATGATCTTAATGGAGGAAGGGAAGTGGCAGAGCCAGCTTACACTGAACATCTGTGATCACCTTGGGGTGCCCCCCACCTGCCAGCCCTGCACCCCAACCCCTATAATGTCCTCATGCGTGTCTTCCCCAGACCCCTCCTCCCCACATTACCTATAGGGTCCCATTGGGTATCAGTCCCAGCCCCCTAGCCCTGCCCCCCACATTGCCTATAGGGTTCCCTCAAGTGCCAGCCCTGCCCTCTAACTTTGTCCCCCCCACAGATCCAGAGCTGGTACCGGGGCGGCGAGACGTGGGACAGCAAGTTCTCCACCATCGCATCGAGCTACGAGGAGTGTCGAGCCGAGTGCGTGGGGCTCTACCTCTGCCTCAACAAGGACGTGCTCCGGTGAGGGGCCTGGGTGGGGGGGACAAGGCCTATCGCCAGGGCTGGAGACCGTAGGCGGATGGGAAGGGTCACCTGGATGGTGGGTGTGGCTGTCATGGGGGGGGGTTGATGTCATATTACCTGGGTATGGAGGGGACGGTGGGTGGTGAGGTGGGGGCTGTCACTGGGGACTGAGACAGTGTGGGGAGGCTGGGGGATGGCAGGGTCTGGGGCTCGGGATAATGCTGCTGTCCTGCAGATACCCAGAGGGGTGTGTCCTTGCACTTGTTGCTGCCCCCCACTGTCAGCAAGTCCCGTCCCCCCCGGCTTTTGTATCCAGGCCCCCACATCCAGACACATCCCCTGTTCTACAGTGTGGGACCTGGTGTATTTGCAGGGGGCTCATCGGGGGTGGATCATGGATGGGGGAACCTTGCGGAGTTTTGGGGGGGTCATGGCTGGGGGGACAGAGGGGGTACCCTACAGAATTTGGGAGAGTTGTCTCGGAATTCAGCAACAGCCCCCCCCAGTGGGGGGGATGAGAGGTTGGGGGTTCCCCAGTGGGCCTCCCTCACTCCCTCCTGCCCCCCCCCAGGATTTTTGAGCTGGAAGGTGAGGATGCGGAAGACGTGATCTACATCAATTGGCTGAACATGGTGCGGGCTGGGCTGCTAGGGCTGGAGTTCTACACCCCTGAGACCGGCACCTGGCGCCAGGTGAGTTGGGGGGGGGCACTGGCCCTTTAAAAGGAGGCAGGGCAGCCTTTGACTCCTCCTCTGGGGGGGGTGGCAGGCAGGGCTGTAGTGTGTGGGGGGAGCCAGGGTTCTATCCCAGCCCTGGGAGGGGAGTGGGATCTAGTGGATTAGAGCGGAGGGGGGCTGGAAGCCAGGACTCCTGGGCTCATCACTGCACCTTGCTGCTCTCCCCCAGGCTCACATGCAGGCGCGCTTCGTGATCCTGCGGGTACTGCTGGAGGCAGGCGAGGGGCTGGTGTCGCTGCAACACACCACGGGCGCTGACGGCAAACCCGATGCACTCATCACTCTCAACCGCAACAAGATCCTGCCTGTGGGGAAGCCGGCCATCGAGCGGTTCCTGCGCAGGCTGCAGGTGAGGGATAGGGCAGGGCTGCAGGGAGCAAGCTGGGGGCTCAGTAGGGGGCGCTCTCCTCTCACAGTCAGTGCTGGCCCCAATGGGGGTGCTGTGCTACTCGACAGTGGGGCTCAGTGAGGCAGTGCTTGTTCTTGTGCGGGGGACCATGATGGGGGTGGTGGGGCCATGGCTGTGTTGTGGGGGCACGGGGCAGTTCTGCCGGGGGCAGCCTGGCTGGGTCTCAGCCCCCTTTGTGTTGCAGGTGCTGAAGTCGACGGCGGATGTGGCGGGGGGCCGGGCGCTCTACGGGGGTTTCTCAGCCGTGACAGACGAGGGGCCTGAGCGTTTCCTGAGCCTGCGCGACACCGTGCTGCTACGCAAGGAGGCACGCAAGATGTTTGTGCAGGCCAACACCCGCCTGGAAGGTATGGAATCCCCCGGCACTGCCCAGCCTTCTATCTACCTCACTACGGGGTAACACTGCCTGGAGGGTATGGAGTCCCCCCAATTTCCCCATGCACCCTGCTCTGGGGTGACACTCACGTGGCGGGTACAATTCTGCCACACAACTCCCACCCAGCTCCCCCGCTCAGGTAACTGAGCCTTGGTTTACCCCAGTCCTATGCCAGCTGGGAGTTCAGACCCTTGGGGCATTGGTGCCAGGTGGAGAGGGTGCAGAGAAGGCGTGGTGGGCTAAAATTGGAGCCCAGGCCATGAGGAGTGATTGACGTGACAAGGTAGGGGCAGGTGGAAGGGTACAGGAGCAGGGGGTGGGTGCAATATAGAGGGCTGTGATGGAGCAGGGGGTGGGGGAAACACTGTGACCCCCTCTCACCTCCTCTGCCTCTGCAGGCAAGAACATGAGACATGACCTGTGTGTGTGAGAGAGAGAGAGAGAGAGAAAGGAGTGGGGTGAAGGTGAGGTGGGGGGCTGTGATGAGGACAATGCCATGACCCTGTCTCCCCCCTCCTCCTCAGGCGAGGATGTGACCCTGGTGCAATACGAGGGTACCGCAGCCGGACTGATCCGCTCCTTCTCCGAGCGATTCCCTGAGGATGCTGAGCTCTTGGAGCGCCATCTGCTGGAGCTGTCGGACGCCGACTCCCACTTCTGGGCAAGCCGGGGCTGAGAACAGGGAGACCCAACCCCCACACTGCACAGGGGACTCAATACACTCAGCTTTTGTACCTGCCTCTCGTCTCTTTCTGCTGCGTCTGATGTGTCAAACAAGGGTGGGGGAGCTTGTCCCACATGAGCATTAATGGGGCTCCTCACCACAGCCTCAGCAAAATGGCAGGAGGTTTAATGGGCCTTAGTGTCTAACACCCACCCCCCCAACTTCTGCCAGAAGTCCTGGCTCCCATTCCCTTCCACCAGCACAAGCCACCAAAACAACTTCCTTCCCAGAGTCGGGCATAGAACCCAAGAGTCCTGGCTTCCAGTTCCCCCTGCTCTAACCACTAGACCCTACTCCCTTCCCAGAGAACCCTGAGAAGTTTCAGTACATCCAAATTCAAGGTAATATGTCTGGGAGCCGACAATGCAGGTTCAGGCAGTGACTCAGAAAAGGACGTAGCTGGCATCAAAAATAATTGCCTCACTATGAGCTCCCAGTGCAGCCCTGCAGCCAAAAGGGCTAATGTGACCCTTAGGTGTACGAGCTGGGATAGCAAGTAGCAGGGAATGATCTTGCCTATGCCCCCAGTGTCAGTGTGATTGCTGCTCGAATGCTGTGTTCGGTTTGGGTGTACACACTTCCAGCAGGGTGTGGAACGTTCAAACGTTCAAAAATGAGCCAGGATTGCATGATGGGCTCAGTCTATTCAGCTGATCGAAGCTAAGGGTGAGAGCTGATTTGATTGCTGGGTGTAGGTACTTACACTTGGAAAAGAGAGCAGGTAGTGGAGACTTTTCACCATGGCTGCAAAGACATAGCAAGACCCAACAGCTGGAAGTTGAATTTAGACCGATTTAACCTTGATCTCAGATGCAAGTTCCACAGCCATTCAAAGGGCTTCCCCAAAGAGGTGGAGGGATTCACCATTGCTTGGAGCCTTTAACGAGACATCTTACTTTAATCCAGCACCTGGGAGAAATGATACAGCCGGTGTGTGCTGGAGGGCTTGGGCTGGATGGGTGTGGTAGTCTGTTTTGGGCATGGAATCTCTGAATTCCCCTGTTCATTCCCTTTCCTGTCATGTCACAGGGGGTGATCCTCTTTCTGCAGAGCCCTATGAAGTATCTGGGCCTGGCCTCAGCTCAGCTGGGATCTCCAGGAGCCAGACCTGTGCATTTCAGCCTCTCATTTTCAAAGGAGAGTGGCCCGGCTGGCTTAGGGGGCAGGGGAAGGGGCTGCTGGCTCTGATCTGGGCCTTGGGCTTTGGAGGGACTGGTTGGTGCGGAGGTATGGGATACAGGGCCTTTCCCCTCCTGGGGACACCGGCACTGGTGCCTGTACTGTGGGTCAGTCAAGTTGGGGGTCCCAGCATAGCTCTTAGGGGGACCATCTTCTCCCTTGGAGGCTGGATCCAGGAGGAAGTCAGGTTCTTGGGGTGACTCCTCCCTTGCAGGAGCTGCTCTGCTTCCACTCTCTGCCCGCCCCCCTCCCGTCGCCGCGCGCCCCAGAGTCAGTGGGGGTGGATCCGGAACCTTGAGTTGCTAGGGTTAGTCTCCCCCGGAAGGATCCTTTTGAGTGCGACACCGTATCTGGCTAGGGGACTGTTTTCCGGTTACTCCCATCCACAGCCATTGGGTTGCCGTAGCAACAGATCCTGCCAGTCCTGCAGAAGGACATGGCGGCCGCCTCCTCCTCCTCCTCCTCCAGCAGCGAGAGGTGTGTGTGGCGGGGGTGTTGGTGATCCCTGAACCCCTCTTTCATGGGCCTGATTAACTGGGGGTGGCAATGTCTGGGATCCTCTTCCCAGCGCAGGGAGGGGCTGGGAGCCAGGAGCCAGGACTCCTGGGTTCTATCCCAGCTCTAGGAGGAGAGTGGGGGCCAGTGGTTAGAGTAGGGGAGGGGCTGGGAGCCAGGACTCCTGGGTTCTAGCCCAGCTCTAGGAGGGGAGTGGGCTTTAGTGGTTTGAGCAGATGGGGAGGCATTGGGGCGGCTGGAATTTCTGTTCCATGTGTTGATTGAAATATATCCCAGTTTCTCATTGTCGCTCTGTGTCTACCTGTCTCTTTGTGTCCCCACCCTGTCCACGTCCCTCTCCAGTAATGAAGCCAACTCCAAATGGCTGGATGCCCATTACGACCCCATGGCCAATCTCTACACCTTCTCCTCCTGCATCGGTAAGTCCAGGATCCTCCCATAAAGTGCCCTGAGCTGAGAGAGCTGGGGAATGGGCCAGTGGGATTCTCCTGGGTGGAGGCCCATTGAGTGGTTAGAGGTGGGGAGGGAGGGGGAAAAGGGCCAGGAGTTCTGGCTCTGCAAGGTGAGTGAGGGCTAGTGGTTAGATTGGAGGGGGGCTGGGAATCAGGACTTTTTGTTTCTATTCCAGTGGTTATAATGTGTGGGCGGTGGGGTGCTGAGAATCCAAACAGCTGTGTTCTGTTCCTGCCCCTGCCATGTTGTCTCTGTAGGTGCTTAGATAAGTCCCTTCCCTTATCTGCTCCCCACATTCTCCATCAATAACTTAGTGAGGTACCTGGCAAAGGAAGCTCTTCTCAAGGTCACTTAAGCATGTGTGGTGCTGGCGGATGGCAAAGCGTAGTTATGTACAGAGCCATGGAATCCCAACCCTGGGAATACAAAATAAACCCTCCCTCCCACCCACCCAGGTTTGTTAACACTCAATGGGAATGGGACTCCATAGACTCCTGTCTCTCAAGGTGAGTGTGTGAGACGCACAGCCACAGCAAACAGGACGTGGAACTTAAAAACACAGGGAAAGGCAATGAAGGGGACGGTCTGATGCTTATTTAACTCTGAGGCCTGGTTGGCAGGAAAGTGTTCTCCATTAAGGATTTAACCCCCTCCAACCCTTCAGTGACAGAGCCCCAGCTCCACATCTCTAGGTCCTCCAAGGAGAACTCATTGGAAAGCAGCTGTTGCATTCCTGATAGTGCTGGGAAGAAAACCTTATAATTGTGTTCATTATCTCCTCCCAGAACTGGGGATAAACCCAGGAGTCCTAGCCCCCCAGTTCTAACCTCCTGGACCCCACTCCCCTTCCAAAGCTGAGGTGAGAAGCTTGGTTCCCAGCCTGCCTCGGATCACCATTAAATAACTAACTGTAGCGCATAGCAAGCTTCCAGGGCCCTGTGTAATCCTTTCTAATTGTTGTATGCAGTGTAGTTGTAGCTGTGTCAGTCCCAGGATATTAGCGAGACAAGGTGGGGGATTGAATATTTTTTATTGGAACAACTTGTGCCGGTGAGAGAGAGAGAGACTTTCAGAGTACCTTTCCCACACCTGAGGAAGAGCTCTGTGTAGCTTGTCTCTTGTAACTTGTCTCTCTCACCAACAGAAGTTGGTCCAATACCTTGTCTCTCTAACCCCTTCTATGGCACTTTGCCTTCATCGTGTCCACCACTAACGTCCCTGGGAGGGGAAGATGGATGGGAGCTGTGCTGCTAGGGATAATGACTAATACTGCTGGGCTCATGCTAGCTAGGGCCTGTGGAGGGCCACCCATTACAGGGGTCTCCCCTAGGGTATATCCCCCGACCTTTCATGCCACTTGTGGACATTTATGAGACCCTGCTGAGAGCATCCCAGAGGGGAACCAGACGCACAGCAGTGATAGACACAGCCCTGTGGTTACAGAGCACTGAGCATAGTGGTTAGATGGTCTGCCTTACAGAGCTGGGGATAGAACCCAAGAGTCCTGGCTCCCATCCCATCTGCTCTAACCACTAGTCCCCACTCCCCTCCCAGAGTTGGGGATAGAACCCAGGAGTCCTGGCTCCCAGTCATGCTCTTACACTCCATGTTTCCAGAGCCCCTTTCATCTCAAAGTCCTTCAAATTATTACATGGCTCTGGAGCACAAGCCTCCTCAGTTGGTATGGAATGAGCCAATGCATCTGCGAGGAGAGAACACCTCCTACTAATTCCACTCCCTGCAGCACAGTGCCCCCTGTCACTATGCTGGGGCACTGTGGTCAGCATTAATTGGGAGGGGAGAGCGTCCCCTTGGTCTCCCATGCAGATACTGGGCATGGCTGGACCTGTTTAGCACGGGGGGAGGTTGTCAGGGATGCTGACTCCACATCTGTCTTTTGTTCCAGCACTGGCTGACCTGCATGGTGATGGAGAGTACAAGGTGAGGAAGGCTGGCCTGCCTGCCCCCCCACCCAACCCCCAGGCAATGGGCCTATCCAGCCTGGTACCTCCCCCCACCACCACCTCCCAGATCAGCCTGGTATCCCTCACACTCCACCCTGGCTTTGGCACCCCCCCCCCCAGGGGCAAACAGCATCTGGATGGGGATTGTGTCTCTTGGGGCGGGATGGGGGCAGACATTTAGGGTGGGGGTTGTCTCTTGGGGTGGGAGTGAGTATTCTGGGCCGGTTGCCTCTCTGGGCAGGAGGGAGTGAGGGTGCCTGTGCCCAGCCCAGAAGGTGGGAGCTGCCCTGGGGTGGGGGTGAGGACCCCCCAGCACTGCCCTTCTGTCTGTCTCTCCCCCCCCCAGCTGGTGGTGGGTGACCTGGGCATGGCTGGGCACACCATGAGGCTGAAGGTGTACCGGGGCACAGGGCTGGCCAGCGAGAGCACCTTGTTGGACCTGCCGTCTGCCGTTGTCACCTTCCTGATGGACCAGAATGAGCCACGCACGCCTGCCGTGGCTGTGACCTCCGGCCCATTTGTCTATGTCTACAAGAACCTGCGGCCCTACTTCAAATTTACCCTGCCCCCCCTGGATGCCAACCCCCTGGAGCTGGACGTCTGGGAGCAGGCCAAAGAGGTGAGCAGGTGGGGGGTGGCATGGCCATCCCAGGGTACCAGTCCACACCCCTGTCCCCCACCTCAAACCAATGGGCCCACCCCTCCCTGGCACTCCACATCAGACCCAGCTCTGGGAGTGGAGTCCAGTGGTTAAAATGGAGGGGCTTGGAGCCAGGACTCCTGGGTTCTATTCCCAGCTTATAGTCATGTGCCTTCCCATCTCTCTCTATCTGCATCTCGTTCCAGGACATGATCGATCCCCTGACTCTGAAGGAAATGCTGGAGGGGATCCGGTGAGTGTCTCTTCCTTCCCCCCATGGACTGTCACATCACCATGCCCCCACAAAAACTCCGTCCTGGTCCTTGGCTTAGCAAGTGCTGGGAGCTAATACCAGAGGCATTTAACATTCGATCGCTGGGTGTGAACTCTGGGGAGATCCTTGAGGTTAGAGCCGGGCATGCTGAGAGCCAGGTCTCCCGGGTTCTATCCCCAGCTCTGGGAGGGGAGTGGGATCTAGTGGTTACAGTAGAGGGGGTGGGAAATCAGGACTCCAGCGTTCTGTTCTGGGTTGTGGATGGCAGGGTCTGTGATGGTGAATGTATCGTATTGAGTTTCTGTCCAATGTCTTCCTCTCTGTTCAACATCTTCCTCTCCTGGTGTGTGTCAGGGACAAGGCGGAGATCCCCCTGTCGGTACGATCACTAAGGTAAGGCCATATGGTACCACTGAGGGCAAGGAGTGGCATGAGCACCTCACCCTCCAGCGATTTCCTGGCTAGCACCAAAAACGTGGGCTGGGAGCTCTAGGAGCCTGATTTTTGTAGGGGATTGGAGCAGGGAGATTGAGGCTGGTGGCCAAGGGAGAATGTGTGAAGGGGTCAGGGCTGGATCCTGGCAACGGGGAAGGCAGATGGTGTAGGGAGCACAGGCTGGGGGTTGGGGATCAGGGAGGGATCTCAGCAGTAGAGGAGGCGGGTAGCGTGCGGAGCACAAGACTGGGAGGTGACGGATCTCGGCAGTGGGGGAGGCAGGTGGTGTGTGGAGCACAAGCTGAGGGAGGGATCGCGGAGGGATCTCGGCAGTAGGGCAGGTGGGTGGTGTAGGGAGCACAAGCTGGGGCGGGGGGGATCGGGGAGGGATCTCAGCAGTGCGGGAGGCGGTTGTGTGACAAGGGTCGTGTGGGGAGCACAAGCCGGGAAGGTGGGGGTCGGGGAGGGATCTCGGCAGTGGGGGAGGCGGGTGGTGTGGGGAGAACAAGCCAGGGAGGTGGGGGTCGGGGAGGGATCTCGGCAGTGGGGGAGACGGGTGGTGTGGGGAGCACAAGCTGGGGAGGTGGGGGTCGGGGAGAAAGCTCGGCAGTGGGGGAGGCGGGTGGTGTGAGGAGCATAGGACGGGAGCGGGGACGTTTTCCCAAAGCTTGGAAGGCTCTCAGCAGCAGAGCTCCTGTTCTAAGGGGTAGGGGGGGACACTGGGCCAGAGGAGGCTGTGTCACTATCCCACAATCCCCTTCTCTGTCTCCCCCACCCCAAGGTTCCTGGCCCAAGATGTACCAGAGATGGAGAATTTTGTGAACCTACATAAGGGGCAACCGATCAAGCGCCAGGTGGGTCCCTGCCCTGCCCTGAGTCTGGGGAAAACTCCCCAGTTGGACCCTCCCAGAGTAGGGGACTCGGTGGGGTGGGGGTTAGAGAAAAGGGGTATTCTAGCATTGCCAGTTCCCCACCGATGACTTGCGGGTCCCAGAAGGGCCATCCGGGTACCCTTACTTCCCAGCATGCCCCTGAGGAGACTGGCACTGCCCACCCTTGGTAGAGAGGGGGACTGGGGAAGGGGGAGGTTCATGCCCATCTCCCTGTCCAGACTGTCATCACCTGCATGAGCACGCTGAAGAAGAACATGGCGGATGAGGATGCGGTCAGCTGCCTGGTGATCGGGACGGAGAGCGCCGATGTCCTCATCCTGGACCCTGAGGCCTTCACTATCCTGGCCAAGGTGAGTGGGGTGCCGGGTAAGGGGGTCTGTATATAAACAGTCCCCGCATCCCACCCCAGAGGTGGCTGCATCTCAGCACCAGGCAAGGGACCCCTGATCATATGTAGCTCGTTCCCATGGGTGTGGGGCTGCCCCAGCTCTCCATTTGCTGTTGCAGATGACGTTGCCGAGCGTGCCAGCCTTCCTGGACGTGATGGGGCAGTTCGATGTGGAGTACCGGGTCACGGTGGCCTGCCGGGACGGGAGCATCTACATCCTGCGCAGGTGACAGCCATCTGTCTTGGAGCCTGGGGCTGGAATGGGGCAAAGGGGAAGGCAGGGGAGTGTTGAGGAACATAAGATAAGGAACCTGGTATGTCTCCTCCTCCCCCCGGATCAGACCTATGGTCCTTTCCAGCTTGGTATTCCCTTCCCTCTCCAATCAGACCCATGGGCTTATCCCAATACTCTGTCTCTCTGCTGCCCCACTGCCCAACAGCCACCCATGCCAGTTGCCCATAATGCACCTCTGTAGCGCTCTCCCATAGGGATGATTCCCTCCATGCAAGGGCTCAGCCAAGCCCAGGTGCCTGAAGGTTTGGTCTTGCTGTAACATCCCTACGAGTGAGGCCTGTCTTTGCCCATTCCCTGGGCACAGGGGGTGGGTGGGGGAGTGACGGGAGCCCACAAGGCAGGGGTGCAAGGAGGGAGCTGGGTGGGGCAGCAAGCACTGGGGCGGGCTGGCACTGACCTGTCTGCCCTCCCTTCCCACTCCAGGGAATCCAAGCGGCCCAAGTACTGCATCGAGCTGAGTGCCCAGCCCGTGGGGCTGGTGCGGGTACACAAGAATATCGTGGTCGGCTGCTCTGACGAAACCCTGCAGGGCTATACACAGAAGGTGGGAGTGGGTGAGGGCACCTGCTACGGGGCACTAGGGGTGGGGCAGCTGGGCAGGTCTTGGAACCTATGTGCCCCCAGATCTGCTCCCTACACCACCTGTTACCAAGGTGCCTCTCCCTGGGAGGACCAGCAGGAGATCTCCATACCTCCATTCTAGGTCTGGTCTGCTAAGGGGGCTAGTGTCAGGGGTGCCACGCAAGGGATCCTTGTATAAATAGTCCCCCTCCCCCATCCCAGAGGCAGATAAACAGTCTTGCACCAGAAATGGTTACATCTAAGTGCCAGATCTCTTTCTCTTACAGGGGAAGAAGCTGTGGACAGTCTATCTGCCAGCCCCACTAATGACTATGAGCCTCCTAGACCAGAAATCACGCGGCTTCCAGGCCGTGATGGTAGGTCTGGCCAACCAGGAGGTGCACATGTACCGGGACAAAAACCTTGTGGACATCATCCGCACGCAGGTAACTTTCCCACCAAGCAAAGCCAGGGTTAATGCAGGACTTCTGGGTTCTATCCCAGCTTTGGGCGGAGAGTAGGGTCTCATGGGCTAGAGCAGGAGGCTGGGAGCCAGGCCTCTTAAGTTCTATCGCTGGTTCTGAGAAGGGAATGGGGTCTAGTGGGTTAGAGTGAGGTGGCTAGGAGCCAGGATTGTGGGTCTGATGGTTATGGGGGAGCCAGGACACTGGCCAAGCTGCCTGATATCCCATTTCCACCCCCCCTCGCTCCCCCACAGGACGTGGTCACCAGCATTTGCTTTGGCCGCTATGGGCGTGAGGACAACACCCTGATCATGACGACTAAAGGTAGGCAAGGGGCATGCCGGGCGGGCACCATTCACTTCCGTGCAGTTGCTTCTGTGCAATAGTGAATGCACCCTGCAGGGGATGCTGCCGGCTGTGTGCAGGACACCCTGCCCAGCCCCATCTGTAAGGACACCCTGACCCTAGCTTAGAAATTCTACTCTCAGGCATCTGGGCATCAGCTGGGCTCCAGCTGGTGGGTCAGGAAGGAATTCAACTCCCGTGGGACAGTGCAGTGCAGCAAGGGGCATTAAGGAGACAGTACACCATGGGGGATGGGCCCACAGGTCTGATCCAGGGAGAGGGGATTCAGGACCTTTGTGCCCATTTGTGGTGGTCCCACCCCGCAGGCGGGGGGTTGATCATCAAGATCCTGAAGCGCACGGCCGTGTTTGAGGAGAAGGACACGTCGCTGGGCCCTCCTGTGGCCCAGAGCATCCGACTCAGCGTGCCCAAGAAGACCAGGCTGTACGTGGACCAGACGCTGCGGGAGCGCGAGAATGCCGTGGGTGAGTAGGGCAGGAATGGTGGGTTGAGGAGGGGGACTGCTTGTGGGCAGGTTGAGGATGGAGCAGCTGGGGGTGTACGGGAATGAGGAGGGGGAATAGAGATTGGGGGTGGGAGGTGAGGTGGGGCATCTCCCATTCCATTTCCCATGCCCCCCCGGCCCTGAGTCTCCTCCCATGCGCCCAGCCGTAGAGCCACTAGTCCCACTCTGAGCATCAACCATGGGAAAGAGAGAAGCCACTGGACTGGGATTTACTTACCAGCTCAGCATGTCCATGCAAATGCACTGGCCAGCCACTGGGGGCGCTGTGCTGCAGGGAGCAGGATGGGGACTCAGTGCTGACCCTGGTGCCAGCGGAGGGACACTAAAGGGCCCTGTGCTGCAGATAAGGCATAAAGCCAAGATCCGTTGTGATTGGTAGAGATCCCCCTTGTTGATTGGCTGCTGGCCCCAGGCTGACTGTCTGTCCTCGCTGTCCCTTCACCCCTCGCCAGCCATGCACCGCGTGTTCCAGATGGACCTGTACCGGCTGCGGCTCATGGCAGCCCGGGCTTATGTCAAGGCGCTGGAGTCCAGCCTGGTGCCCGTCACATCCACACTTCAGGAGCCCCTTAAGATGAATGCCGTGGTGAGTGGGTCATGGGGACACCAGACCCTTGGAATGAGGAGGGTATGGGGCATTTGGAGGGAGCCAGGAGACGGGGTGAGAAAATTCAGGATTGCGCAGGCAGAGGCTGTTCTTCCACAAGGATACTGACCCACGGGGGAGGGGTCAGCGAGGAGCCACGCGAACAATGGAAACCCTGGGCCTCAGGGAGCCCTAGTGGAAGAGTTCCTCTGAGAGAAGGTCCTGAGGGGGCTTGTCCCGGTCTCTCTGCATAGTGGGGGGATTTGTGGGAGCAGGGGGTTCATGAAGGTCGCAGACAAAGTCTGAGCAAGAGCCAGGAGCCACCATCAGCCACAGCCAGTGTTTAACAGGGAGAGGGAGTTGCCCTTCGGACAACAGGGGCAGGGAACTCTCCAGCGCTTGGGGGCTTCCAATCCAGAGGGGATGTGGCTCTAGCTCCGTGAGCAGATCTGGGCTGAACTCCGGAACGGTGGGGGTGAGATTTGGGATTCAATCATCTCTTTAGATTTCCAGGGGTCCCTTCTTGTGGCTCCTGTGATGGAGAACCCCCCCCCCCAACCCCAGGCTGGCTGGATTGGCTGTGGGATCAAGGACTCCTCTCTCCTTTGCACTGAACCTATGCTCAGGATCTACCCCACCCGCCCTTCCCCAGGTCCAGGGCATCGGCCCCACCTTCAAACTGACCCTCCACATTCAGAACACGTCAGCTGGGCGCCCCTCCATCAACCTGCTGGTGAGCTTCCTCTACGACCAGAGCCTCTATGCCATGAAGAGAGCCTTCTTCAAGGTACCCCCACCCCCCAACACCTCTGACCACCCCTACAGGCCCCTGCACTCTGACTGACTCAGCTTTGTCTCCCTACAGACCCCCATGCTGGTCCCGGGACTGAACTACCCCATTGAAACCTTTGTGGAGTGTCTGAGCGACAAGGGGATCTCGGACGTCATCAAGGTTTGTACAGGGACACCCCACCGCAGAGAGATGCCTGACCCTTTAAAATGCTCCCACCTCCCTCCTGGTGTGGGTGGGTGGGGGTTAGGACCCAGAGGTGGCTGCATCTCAGTGCCAAGGGAGGGATCCATGTATAAGGAGGCCCTGCACCCCACCCCAGAGGTGGCTGCATCTCAGCGCTGGGCGCTCTGTCTTCTCTCTTGCAGGTGTTTGTATTGCGGGAGGGCCAGAGCATGCCCTTGCTGACTGCCCATATCAACATGCCAGTGAGTGAGGGCCTGGTTGCTGCCTGAACCGCCTCTGGGGGGCGATAGAGACCAGAGCTGCAGTAGATCCCATAGGAGCCCTCACTGGATCAGAGCCAGGACTGGGAGCCGAGGCCCCCTGCTGTGCAGTGACCCACCAGCTGCCCCCAGGGTGCACATTGCTGACTTGGGACCATGTAGAGTGGGGTGTCAGGGTTGCTGCTCCCCCAAACCGCCACCTGGGGTGCAGACCCAGCTGCTTTGTCTGGGATCAGGCCAGCTCCTTACATCAGAGGTAGTGGGGGGAGGTCTTATGCCCAGGCTGGAATTAAGAGCTGCTGGGGAAAGGGGTGTTTCTCCCCCATCATGGCCCTGGGGGCAGCACCTGGAAACCCCCTTAGCTGTGATCGTAGCATCTCACTAAAGCCAGCACCGTTGCTGTAACGAGGGTGCTGGTGTGTGGAGTGCGTAGCATGGTGGGAGTCGGGTGGTACACTCAAGTTAACAATTAAACAACCTCCCCCCATCAAAGGGGCCACACACACAGCCCATAAAAGCAGTTTAATGGCAGTTTCACAGGACACTTTCGCTGCTGCAGCAAAGGGAAGGAGCATTCGCGTGGAGGCAGTGTTGCTGGAAGGGCCGAGCCCAGCTCTGGGTACCTGTGGGGATGGAGCTATAGCAATCTGAGTATCGAATTCATTCCCCCATCACCCAGGGAAGGCCCGTGGCCCCAGTTAGTTCTGTCTTGGTGGTAGCAGGGGTCTTGGCAGGGAGTCAGCAGCAGGCTCTCGGCAGCAGCAGCACCTCCTCCTTCAGCGCGGGCAGTGGACTTCATGTCCCGGAGCCCCAACGCGGTGGACTGTGGCTGTTATAGGGAATGTGGTGATGCCGCAGGCGTTACTGCCGCGATGGAGATGGTAATAGCCCTGCCGAGGGGACACGCGGTTAGGGACAGATGGTACTGGACAGTCTTTCCTCACCCAGGGCTGCTCTACACCGGGAACTGACATTGGCATAGCTCTGTCTCTCGGGGGTGTAACAATCCACACACTCCGAGAGACATAGCCGTGCGGCCCTGCCCCCGCAGTAGCCTGTGCTAGGTGGATGGAAGAATTCTCCCGCCTCTCAGGGAGGTGGATGAACTTCAGTGACAGGAGAACCCCTGCCACTGGTGGAGGTGCCAGTGCAGCTGTGGCATGATAGCGGTTTAAGTGTAACCCTCACTCCGCCTTTGCATCAAACTGGAATGGGGTCTGAACCTGCACAGGGAGTGGATAATACAGGGGTGGCCAACCTGTGGCTCCGAGCCACATGTGGCTCTTCAGAAGTTAGTATGTCGCTCTTTATATAGGCACCGACTCCGGGGCTGGAGCTACAGGTGCCAACTTTCCAATGTGCCAGGGGTGCTCACTGTTCAACCCCTGGCTCTGCCACAGACCCTGCCCCCACTCCACCCCTTCCCTGAGCCTGTTGTGCCCTCACTCCTCCCCCCTCACACCCTAGAGCCTCCTGCATACCACAAAACAGCTGATGGGGAGGAAGGGGAAAGGCGCTGATTGGTGGGGCTGCCAGTAGGCGGGAGGTGCTGGGAATCGGGGTGGGGGGGAGAAGCTGATGGGGGGCTGCTGATGTATTACTGTGGTTTTTTGGCAATGTACATTGATAAATTCTGGCTCCTTCTCAGGCTTAGGTTGGCCACTCCTGGTATAATAAAAGCCCACACCTCACCCCAGTGGGGGCTGTGTCTTAGCATTGCTCATAGACTCTAAGGTCAGAAGGGACCATTATGATCATCTAGTCTGACCTCCCGCATGATGCGGGCCACAAAAGCTGACCCATCCACTCCTGGAAGAATTCTCTCCCTTGACTCAGCTGTTGAAGTCCCCAAATCATGATTTAAAGACTTCAAATCGCTGAGAATCCTTCAGCAAGCGACCCCTGTATAAACAGTCCCTGCACCTCACCCAGAGTCCATCTCTGTATGATCCCACAGCACAGCCTCCTTCAGACAAAACCAGCCCACACCCTCACAGCCAGCACTGCCCTGGGGGCAGCCCCATACACTCCCCACTCACCTCCTCTCCCCAGTCTTCCCCCCTGGAGTTCTGGATGACCCAGTACTGCATTTTCTTCTCTGAAATGAATTGGTGAAGAGAAAGTCACAGTGGTCTTTGTGCTTCTGACAGCTGAGCCCCCTGCCAAACCCCCAGTTCGTTTAACCCCATCTCACCCCAGTCCAAACCCTTGCACTGCCCATCCCCACTCACCATCTTCCCCGTAGCCAACCAGCAGGCCAACATGATCCACCCAGTCTGGACTACAGCTCTTCACTGAGGGCTGGGAGATGCCTAGTTTATAATGCTGCAGTGGCACAAAAATGAGCCAAAAGTGAATGGGGGGGGGTCTTAGTGGGTGGATCACCATGGGATGGGCTGAGTAGCCAGAGGGCTTCTCCCACATTGGTAATTGGGAGGCACCTACCTTCATGACAGCTGAGTTCAGGGTAACTGTGATTGGGCCCTTGCTTGCAACGTGTGCAGCTATTTCTACAAGAGGAAACCCAAAAGTACTGGATGAGGAGGAGGACCCAGGAACAAACACCCCTGACCCAGGCATGGCCCTACCAGTCTGCTGCTGCTGTCCCCACACACTGGCTACATTGGCCCTTGCCCCTCTCTGTGTCCTCTGGGCCCTCTACACCCCTCACATTCCCCCTCTGCTGCTCAGAGCTCCCCCAGGTGGAAGCATGAAACTAACCAGCCCCTTGTTGGTTTCACACGTCACCCCATGCACCCTCCTGCCCATGCGCAGCTGCCTGGAAACTGACCAGGTCTTGATCAGTTCTGCCCCTGCTTCCCCCCTCTCCCTCCCAGCCCTCTTTGTCACCCCCTAATCCTGTTCTACTGCCCTCACTTGCTCCCTTTGCCCTCACCACTCCCCCCCCCCTTGCCTCAGTGCTGGCCCCACCCCAACCCCTCTCCCCACAAGCCTCACCCTCCTCATCTCCAGGTAGTGTCTGGAAGCCCTGGATATAGGCAGCCGGCACATTGAGGCTGTCGCATGTCTCCTGTGTCCCTGTGTAGGGATAGGCATCCTCGCTGGTCAGACCACCTGGGAGGGAGTGTATGTGAAAGGTCTGGGATGGGCCCAGAGCGCCTCATTCCCTGCTCCATCCTTCCCCTGTTCTGGACTCAAGGGTCACAGTAAACCCCCTCCCCCCAAATTCAGCCTGTCACAGAGTATGGCCAGAGCAGGGTCTAGGAGTGAAGAAGGATCTCCCTTCTGTATACAGTATTGGGAAAATTGCTCCCAGTCTGGGTCAGGGTCCATGCACCACCTAGCGTGATGGGGGCTCCAATCTCAGTCAGGGTCTGCGCAGTGTCCAGTGATGGGGGCTGCAGACTGGGCTGGGGGCCCCAATCTCAGTCAAGGGGTCTGTGCAGCACCTGTGGTGACGGGGGCCCCAATCTGGTTTGGGGTCTGTGCAGTGCCTGGCACAATGGGGGGCCCCAGTATGAGTTGGAGTGAGTCTCCATGCACTAAAGTATCCTTACAGTAAACAGTTGTGAGGGGTGAATAGGGGAGAGTCCTGGGAGCTGTGGGGGGCTTTATTGTCTGGAGGGCAAAGGACTCCACGTCCCTCCAGTGCCTACATACCCTTGTGTAGCACCGTAGTGAAGGCGTCCCACACGTAGCCCCCTTTGCACCCTGCTCCGCATAAGCTGCAGTCCAACACCTCTGCAAGGGAAGTAGTGGGTGAGCATCAAGCCAGCTCCCCCTCACCCCAGTCAGATCCTGGGATCCTGCTCCTGCTGGGTGGCACACACTGACCAGGAAAGAACCCAGTGGGCACTGGCTCATCTGACAGGTGGGACGTCTCACAGTGGCTCCCACTGGGGTGATGAACCCACCCCTGGATGGAGAGACTCAGCACCTGCCACCCCCCGCTTTAACATCTGGTGGGGGAGAGTTCTACAGGCAGGGCTCAGCTGATAGACTGGGGGGGAGGGGAGGTCGGTGACGGGATCCTAGCCTACCAGGAGGCAAGTCTGTGGTGGGGCTTTTCCCCCACCCCAGTGAATGCTAATGGGGTGCAAATACATGAACCCCCATGCATGGAGACATGGTCCGTGTATACCCCACACACCCAGCCAGCTCCCAGGCCCGTCAAGGGTTACAAGCTCCCAGTTTGGGACAGGAAGTGAAGGGGGTACTTTACACACACACTAACTCTCATTCTCAGGGGAGGAGCTTAGAACAGCCCCAGGCGCCCCCTCCTCTCTGCCCCATTCATCCCGGCCTGTGGGGCTGCTGCACACAGCGGGACAGCGCTGGGGTACCCCGCCCTGTTCCAGTCAACGGGGCGAGGCTCCCCCCAGCCCCTACCTTGCACCGAGAGGTTCCGGGGCTGGTGGAAGTGGATGTTCCAGAGGGACTCGATGTTGGCAACGGCAGCGAAGGCCCAGGAGGAGCGGCACTTTTTGCCCTGCAGAGAGAGGGGTGAGGCCCAGCGTGGTGCTAGGGGGCGCTGTGCTGTAGGGCAGGAGGGGGCGCTCTCCCCAGCCTCAGCACTGACCCCAATGCCCCAGCTGAGGGAGGGGGCGCCGGCTGGGGTTAGCAGTGGAGAGAGGGGTGGGAGTGGAATGATTTTGTCAGTACTGAGCCCCACATGGCTCCCCCTGTCCTGCCCCATCTAACTGCCCATCTGGGGGGGTCCCAACCCGCCCCTCCCACAACTACCTGGTCTTTTACGGCCGTCACAGCCCCCGCCTTCCTCCAATCGCAGGACAGGGGCAGCTTCTTCCTCGGGAACCGGGGGGCCTGGCGCATGGTGGGGGGCGGGGAGCTCCAGAACATCCCCCGGAACTCCTCATCTGGGGAGACAAAGGGAGATGGTGCTGAGGGGGTGCGGGAAGGGAGGGGGTGCAGAGCAGTGGGCGAAGGGAGGAGTGCAGAGCGGTCATGCGGGAAATGAGGGGTGCATGGGAGGGGTGCAGAGCAGTGGGCGAAGGGAGGGGTACACGGGAGGGGTGCAGAGCGGTGGGGGTGGGGAAGGGGGGTGCAGAGAGGTGAGGGCAGGGGAAGTGAAGGGTCCACGGTAGGGGGTGCAGAGCGGTGGAGGCAGAGAAAGGAGGGGTACACGGGAGGGGGTGCAGAGCGGTGGGGGCAGGGAAGGGAGGGGTGCATGGGAGGGGTGTAGAGCAGTGGGTGAAGGGGAAGGGAGGGGGTGCAGAGCAGTGGGGGAAGTGGGGTGCACAGGAGGGGGTGCAGAGCGGTGGGTGAAGGGAGGGGTGCAGAGAGGTGGGCGAAGGGGAAGAGAGGGGGCAGAGCTGCAGGGGAGAGGGATGCGGCGTCGGGGGTCGCTCCCCACCTGTCCAGTCGCTGAAGCGGGTCACCCCGTACTGCCCCGTGCCCAGCTCCGTCTCCTGCAGCCGCCGCGCCGCGAGCAGGCTCCGCGTGAAGATCCCGAAGCGTCTGCGCTGCTCTGGAGGGGGATGGGGGGGTCACGGGCATTGGGGGGCACGACACCC